GAGGAAACAGATCTGGAGGTGCAAATCGCCACCGCCGACACCATCGCCGGCAACCCCGCACAAATGGATCTCTAAATTTTTAGATCTGAAAAAAAACGAGATCCAACTCTAATAGAAGAAGAAAATGACAAAAGGAAGGTTAGATCTAGCAAGAAAAGAATGGAAAGAAGAAGAAGGAAGAGGAGGAAGAAGATGACGAGGAGAAGAAAAGGAAGGGGAGAGGAAGAGAGAGAGAAAGAGTGGAAGAAGGAGGAGGAAGGAAGAGGAAGACAGAGAGAGGAGACGGGAGAGGAAGAGGAAAGGGGGGGGGGGAAGAGAGAGAAAATACTTGTTTGGTGCTGTGTGGGATGGCAGGCCGAGAATGACGAGAACGGATGAGAGAGGGGTAATTTAGGAAGATTGAGTATGAAAACGTAGACTAGGAACTTGAAATCCGGACGGAGAAAAGCGTAGAGTAAGAACTTGAAATCCGGACGGAGGGAGTAACATTTTTATACACCCGGAGTATTAAAATATGAATTTCAACTATTTTAGACCAAAATATGATTTATAGTTGGTATTTCTCTGTATTTATAAGTTAATCAAAATTGCTTATAAACAATTTTTAACTTATAAGTCAATAGATTCATATCTTTCTCTCTGACTTGTAAGCTGCTTACAATTCAGAAAATTAAGTGGATATTACTTATTTTTAAGTTAAATTTTTTATATCTCCATTTTGACCAAATTATTTACAAAACTATGTCTCACACTTTATGAATATTTTCAAAAGATTTTTCAATCATTTGAGTCATTTTTACGTTCACGTAAGAATAATTGACTTATAAGCACCTTTTAAATAAATTTTTTTTTATCAGTTATAAACCAATAAGTACTAGCATGGGAAAACATCCCCATAATATCAAAACAAATCATACAAAAAACACGTTAAAACATAACACACGATGTCAAATTGATAGAATTTCAAAGTGTAAAATGAGATTCACGATGGTAAAACATAATTCGCCAAAAAAAAATTGATACACATTTGGTTTTATTAAATGATTTTTCCCATCCCCAAATACATTGAGCCAAGCTTGATGAGTCCAAGCTGAACTTCACTTTTAACTCCAGTGTTTGTCAGCACAGGCCGGACAGTTAACTGAGAAAAGGTAAATCGAACTATAACCCCAATTAGTTCACTTTATGTGTGGGGTTACTTGTGTGGAACTTGTAGAACCTATGTTTTGCATGATTGACTCTCATCGCAGCCACCAGACTACAAACTCGAGATCTCTCTTATGACAACCGCTGAAACTCATTAAAACAAATTCATGGACATTTATGATTTGTCATGAGGATTTTTTTTTTTAAATATTTAAGTACTCCATCCGTCCTATAATGATCTTTCCGGTTCGCAAAACGAAGAAAAATCCCAAGTTTTTTCAATCTATTTTATTTAAATATTAGTATAGAAATAAAAAATAAAACATACATATTTAAAAACTACACCAAAAGTTCAACAAAACAAGTGGTGACAAGAATATTTTATTTTATCATATAGGTCATAAAAAACACAAATAAATATAAATTTCCGTGAAGTTAGAATAGTGCTCTGTGAAGATCATTATAGGACGGAGGGAATATATAAGTTTTTCAAAAAAAAATTAAGTTTCTTTAAAAAAAAAATAATAAGTGAAAGCTGGAAATAAAACGCCAGCCGGCCAATACGGTTGCGTTGCTTTGCATCTAAGGAGTAAATAAGACGAATTCCCCTCATCCGCCGTTAACACCCCCACTCAGCCCCGGCGATCTGCTCCGACAACTCCACCGCGTGCACGGCAGCGAACCGTTGATCTCTCTCTCTCTATCTAAGTGCTTGTATTCTGTCTGTATGTATATACGATTGAATGACTCGATTTCCCCTATCGGACTGTGATATCATCGATCTAGATCTTGTTTGAATATCTAGTGCGGCACTCTATCTGACTAATTTGTCATCGTTGAAGAGTTTTCTGTGTTTTTTTTAGGTTTCTATCCGGTTCAACGATTATCCGAATCCGTGGAAATGGTTTCGTTCGAGATGAACGATCGAAAAAGTAAGTCCGCTTCTTCGCTCTCTGATTTCTCTACTGAAAAACTGAATTGTAGAATGAAACGGATGCTTGATTCGTTAATTTTTCTGGCCTTGCATTCCTTTGATTTGAGGGAGGTTTTGGTTGAGCTTACAGTTTCTCTAACTCGTGCGTAGTAAAACAGGCCGTTTGTTTCAGCCTCTTAATGGTTCAGATGTCTGAATGGTTAAGAGATTTGTCTCTGAATGGTTAAGTATTATACAGAGTCTGAATGGTTAAGACCTCTTATCTGAATTGATCAGACATTTGCCTCTGAATAGTTAAGCAATATACTAGCTCTTGATGGTTCAGACCTCTTACTCCTCTTACTGGTTCAGCACTTAATGGTTCAGACCTCTTACTGGTTCAGCACTTACCTATTCAGAAATTGCCAAACAGCCCCTTACTCTGTAGAAGAAGACGTTTTCTGACTATTGTCAGCATAGAAATGAATATTAGAACTGTCTACACTTTGGTTATTAAACTTGATGTGTGAAAATCTGGTATGCAAACTGTGTACACATGGGAATTACAATTCACATATCTTTCTGTAATAATAGTCAAAATACATATCCTAGAAGGGCGATGAAAAGATTCTGCACTCTTTTTGATATGCAAAATCTTGATGTTTCGTGAGGACATGAGGTGACTAACTTTTGGCTATCAAAATCATATGACCTTTGCTTAGTTTTAACTATTTTCATTTGGTTAAATACAACTCAGCGCTTCATCTAAGTCAGCATTCCAGCTTAGCAGCATTGGTCTTCCTCTGTTCATTTATATTGCTCATGTTTCCAAAGAAACTTATGGTGCGTTGTTGAAACAGAGATTGGTTTAGGGTTGACAGGGTTTGGAGTGTTCTTTTCATTCTTAGGAATCATCTTCTTCTTCGACAAGGGGCTAATTGCCATGGGAAATGTAAGTGGCCTTTTAATAATCTTTTGTGTGTAATATCTCTTGGTTTTTGTGATATTTTTATCCTCATGCATGCCATTAACATACATCTATTTTATTGAACCAGATTCTCTTTGTATCAGGGGTGGCCTTAACAATTGGTCTGAAGCCATCCTTGCAGTTTTTCATGAAACGTAGCAACTATAAGGTTACTGCCCATTTTGTGATACCCTCCAATGCTGTATTCTATAAACACTTTCCGTCTCTAATTTCACGTGTCAGTTAAACACATCATCTATGTGCCTTAGTATTTTATGACATGTTTTTAATTATATACTCCATATAACAGTTGGGTTTTCATTCAATCATTGCATAGGGCACAGTGTCATTCGGAGTTGGTTTTTTCTTGGTTATCATTGGATGGCCTATCTTGGGGATGATTCTTGAGGCTTATGGTTTTGTTGTGCTTTTTAGGTTAGTGTGATGCTTTATATTGATTGTAGTGTTGCCTTGAGTTTTTTCTGTGTTTCGACTTGAGTTATTCTAGTAGGTTGCTGACTAGTTTTTTTGAACAGTGGGTTCTGGCCGACTTTGGCAGTTTTCCTGCAAAAGATACCTGTTCTTGGGTGGCTCTTTCAGCAGCCTTTTGTTAGATCGGTACGCACCTTACATTCATTTATAAAAATGTTTCTCAATAAAAAAAAGTGTTTCTCACTCAGTACTGTGCGGGATACATGGAAATAGTGCTACTATCTTACATTTGCATGGATTCATTGGTGGTTAGTTTTTGCGAACAGCTTATTGAGATCAATATGCTTAATACTCCCACCATCATGAATTAAACTCCATGGTTTGACTTAACAGACTTTAAAAGTGTTGAAACGTAAAATGATACGGAAAACAATTTTGTTTCTTGGTCAGTGGAAAGGGGAAGAAATGAGAGGAGAAAACACACTAAGAAGAGAAAACAACTTTACTTCCATTTTGGCGAGGAAAAAAAGAGAACTCTTTCTTTCCTCTTCCTTGTGAATTCCACCAACCAAACTGGAAGTAAGGTCTGTGCACCCTCACCCTTGCTAGACCCTACTTTTTGTGGGATTCGACTACGTTTGTTGTTCTTGTCGTAAACAGCGGGTACCTGCACAACAGAAAAAAGACTTGACTATGTAACAAGATTGAAATATCCAATGCCTCCTCACTCAATGGTTTTCCTATATTCATATGCAGTTCTTTGATCGCTACCGAGGAAAACGAGTACCAGTCTGACTTTAGTGTTGACAGCTTTACAGGAGATTCGAATGACCATCTCCGAGACTCTCTCCCCCATACAAATGTACGGTCTGCGAAACACGGCCCTCAAGCGTGTTACCCGTTACCACTCAACCAGCACCAGTATGACAACACTTTAGTATTTGCTCTCAGGTCGATGCTAGCTACTACATGGTTTGGTTATGGTCTTTTTTTTACTTTAGTGCTCTGTAGCAGTTTTACCTTTTCATAGCTGTTGTGTAAGCCTTTTTTTATCTTTGGAGTAATCCTTTCTACATCCACAATCCATTTGTATCGGGGGTTTCGGTTCATTCGTGGTAAAATTGTAAATACCGTGTTTTTAGTCTCCTGGTAACAATTGGAATTACACCAACTATTGAACTGGAACTTTTGGTGTCATTAATAATAGCTGTGCCATTTTCCCATTGCCAAAACTAATACTTCTAGTAGTTTGGATTGGAGATTGCATATGATTACACAATAAAATGTTTTTTTAAGTTTCTTTTGCGGCATCTATCTAAAAGAAAACTTTTTGTATCAAACTTTGATCATGATTTGAGGAAAAAGTGTTCTTTTTGGCCAAAAATTATCTTTTTTGCGAAAACGTAAAAAAATATTTTGACTTTTTATACTCCCTCCGTTCCAAAAAGAATTGGACGGTTTGACTTTTTGGAAAATTAAGGGAGAGATATTTTGGTATTGACTTTTCAAAAATACCCTTGATGTGATGGGTAAAAGTAGGATGTGATGGGTAGATTATTAGAAAAAAGGTATGATGTGATAGGTAGAGTATGAAAAAGTAAGGGGTAAAAGTGGTTTTTTAATAGAAATGTAACGGACTTTACGGGACGTAGTTTTTTCTAAACGTAACAAACTTTTTGGGACGGAGGGAGTATTTGTCATTGTGTCATTGCAAAAAGAAGTGAAAATATGAATTATAATTAATGAGTAAAAAGGAGAGTAGTGATCTGATTTAAGAAAAAAATTCAAAAAACAAAAAAATTATTTATAAATAGACAAATAAGAAAAGTAGAAACATATACTTCCTCTGTCTCATTTTAAATTGTCTGTTTGTCTTTTTTTCCGTCCCAAAATAAGTTGTCTGGTACTTGTTTTCGTAAACTTTTAAGAGTAAAATACCTAAATTACTCCTAAAATAAGTCACTCTTTTCCACCTTATCTTCTCATTCATCTTCATCCTTCCTAAAAAGTAATGGCAATTTCAAGAAATCAACTTTATTTTTTCTTTTCCTTAAATATACCCAAAAGTCAAAACAGACGATTTAAAACGGGACGGAGAGAGTATTATAAACATAGGGAGCATATTCATTTAAAATGTAAACTTATTATCATTAGTTTCATTTAATAATGTACAAACACTGTTAGTAATTATTTGTGTTACATTGATGATTGTCAAAAAACAAATCCCATTTCAAAAAACTCCAGATCAAGCTTTGGATCATATTGGGCGTAGATAAATACTCCTAATTAGAGGTAACATTAAAAACCAACTACTAAAGGAATCTAATTATAAGACTTTTACATTATTCCCAAAGTCCTAACTATACCTTAAGCACAAAACTTTTAAAGAGTTCACTAAGATCAATCCCATAACACAAATAGAGATTAGAGAGCTTAAACCGAGATAGGAGTGTTACTCGCTCCTTCCGAAAGAACAATTCCAAACAAAGGGAGTACATAAAGCATTGTAAAAAAATGATGAGCTCAGGTCCCGGATGGGCGATCACTAAAAGGAGATATTGTACTTTGATTACAAATTGGTGACAAAGAATGAAGCTTACATATGTTACTTGCAGAGACACTATGCACAATACAGTTGCCTCCCAGTGCAGTTGCCAAGAATCGAACTCGAGTCTTACCCCCTTCACAGTCCTTGCCTTTGCCAACTGCGCAACACCCACCGGCCACATAAAGCATTGTAGTTTGTACATAAGAATACAAGCATTCCACTCTCATTCATATTATAACAACTTGTTCAATAATACTTTCAAATCTTGACAGATCACAAGTAGTTCACATCCTGTGCTTAAAGCTTGCTGTGTGCAAGGAGGAGAAGTTCCTGCTTCCATTTATCCCTTAAAGCTCTCCTAATGACCTTATTTGAAGCTGTCCTTGGGAAGCTTGGAACAATCCTTACCGCCCTCACCTGTTGGCCCGCCGAAGCAAATATCTTCGTTAAACATTATAACTCTTTTCATGAACAATGAGTACACTACATTTCATGGATGAACCATTTACTTTGAATTAAGATAAGTATTTACTTGATTTATATCTTTAAAATTTGTTTTGAATGAGAAGTGCATCCAAGGTGGTAGAAGACTGTCTCTAGAGTGAATTGTGCTAAAAGTGCCCAACAATATGTATGAAGTACTTGTGTGAATCACTTACATTATGTTTGGTTCACGGAATTCGGAAGGATAAGAAAAGAAAATCGTTTTTGATAGAATTTGTGATGACCCACACTAAAAGATTGGGCAATAAGACACTTGGGTTGAACCACATTAAAAGATTGAATCCAATCGATTACTTAGTTCAAATCAAGAGCTTATATACTGATTTTTTTCCCTTAAGTTCCGATGTGGGATACTCTTTAACAGTTTTCTCTCATTTTCCTCACCAAAATGAGAGAAATTTGAATTTTCCCTCCTCTTAGTACATTTGGTCTTCCCGTTTTATTTTCCTCCGACTTTTCTTTTCTTTTCCTCTCTAGCTAAACATGAAAATTTGTTTTCCCTCTTGTTTTCTTTTCTTTTCCCTCGTAAAGAAAGCATATCTATATAAAGAAGCTTTATGATGAGGAACAAAACCTTGAACAAAGGATTGAGACTGCTCTGTATGGCCCTTGAAAATTTTGGCTTCAGCTCTTCTATAGAAATCTCATATCCTTCTTTGAGGACCACAAATATAGCTAATTCTTCCGGTCCACCATTTGCCGGCGACGCACTGACAGCAGCTGTTTCGACAACATTTCTGTCGGCGAGATTGCAAACACGCTCTATTTCAACTGAGCTTGTCTGCGTAAGCACAAAATATAAAACATTTCTCTTGGCCTAATTTTTCAAAAACAAATGTAAAAAAAAATGAAAAACACGCTCGTTTGGTGTTTGAAAAACAAATGTAATCTCTTTAAGAATTGGCATTTGGCATACTTTAATACCCCCAAGATTCATTGTGTCATCAGCTCTCCCTTGTACCATAAGATAACCACCAACGATTCTTTTAAGGATGTCACCGTGCCTCCTGAGCCGCTGGAAATACAACGGAAGAGTGAATATTCCAATATTTGTAGGACCATTAAGGACATTTAGTTGATGCTTACCATTCCTTTGTGCACTGGCATTCCTTCAAAGTATACTTTTTCGTGATCAGCATTCAGTAGCCTCTCGCTAGCTCCCATATTGATAGGAAACAAACCAACCTCGCCGATGCAAGCTTTATCATCTGGCTGTGAAACATGAAATAATCAGCATTGCATGGTCATGACTCATACCCCACATAAAACAAACTTTTCATATTTTCTTAATTATAAAAGAATCATTAACAAGATTAATATGAAACGTTCGGTTAAACTACAATATTAAGTAAAAAAAATACAAGTCAAGTTCATGCTAAATAATGAAATCGAAAAGTTGTATATTTCCTAAACATGAATGGTTTCCAGGGTCATAGGTAAGTATTTGTTTGGGAAGTATGTCAGCATCAAACATCGAAAGCATTTTAAAACTGTAACTAGCATTATAAAAGATGGAGTGTCGTACATAAGCATGACCATCTTCGTCAAGGATGACAATGCCCACAGCCATAGATGCTGAGCTAAATGTTCCAAAAGCTTGTGGCTGCAAGAGGTTTCCGGCAATGTAGGTTGATGCAAGCTCTGTGCCGCCACAACACTCGACAATGGGTTTGTAGTAAGCCCTTGAAGTAAGCCAGAGGTCATCATCAACATTAGAGACTTCTCCGGTAGTACCAAATACCCTGCATATTCTCATCAGTTGTGCCATTATAAGTTCAACGACAGCAAAACACAGTGTAATCCCAACAACGTTGATGTCTGAGGAGTCAAGAAGCGAAGCAAGTTTGAGGTGCTGTGCGGATTTAATCCATTAATTTTACTCCGTCTCACAATTAAATTGACAGTTTGACATCACCGAGTTTTAAAAGAAGTTGAAAAGTGAAAACGGTTGACACATGAAAAATGCATGGCTGAATTTTTTTTAGAAGAAAGAGAAACCATGTGTGAGCCACACGTTCCTTTCTTAAAAGGAAAAATGTGAAGTGTAAAATTTATTTTGGAACAACAAAAAAGGAAAGTGTGAAGTTAATTGTGAAGTAGATGGAGTATGTTACAAGTCTTATTTCTTTGGTAGCTGACATTAATATTCCTCCTTTTGTATATAGATCCTACTTTATATAAACTTGGAATTGTTTTGTTTCCAAACCTATGTGTTTAAACAACTATAAACAGACACATCACAGCCGATTATTCTTGATCCAATTAGGCATCATATTTTGCACACTCCATCTGTCCCGCAATAAGTTTCTCACAATAAAAGTTACATTTCTTTCCCCTCTAAAAACAAGAATATATGACTCACAACATTGATCTATCTTCTAAACAAATCGCAACCACATGCATTTCATTTTTTGACAATTTTCTTTAACCCCGTGAAGTCAATATATACCATTTGCTAGATATTTGTGGTTTAATTCTTCAATAAAAGGCCGATGATAATTGAGTGTACCTTATCCTAGTCCAGTTTAGGCCTTTCATACAGTCTGTGCTTTTCCAAGCCTTCACCAAGCTTGGGACTGTTCCCAGAATAGTGACCCTTGAATCCTGATCATTTTAGAAAGGGACAAAAGACCTTTCGTCAGTTATCCATAAAACCCAACTTAAATTTGGTTTTAGTCAAGCATATAAAACTTCCCTCTAATTTCACTTGTTACTTGGCGTTACACTGTCTCACAGAATACCTGAACAAATTTTCCAAAACCACGACCTAAAGGAGATCCATGATAGAGGGCCATAGTAGCACCAGTCAAAAGGCAGGCATATACTAACGTAGGCCCCATAACCCATCCCAAATTTGTAGGCCAGCAAAAGACATCTCCAGCTTTGACATCGAAATGAGCCCACGAATCTGCAGCAGCTCGCACGGGGGAGAGTTGAGTCCAAGGTATTGCTTTTGGGTCGCCTGAAAGTGGATATTATATATGATCACTGGTATAGAAAATATAAAGTTCTAGAAATGTCAAACTGCAAAAGCATAAGAAAAATATTGTAGCGATTGACTCTCGACCTGTTGTTCCAGAAGAGAATAGTATATTGGTGATAGAGTCTATTGGTTGGTAAACCGGCGTGTAATGACTTGGTCTGCAACCAGAGAATATACTGTCAAATGCGACGACTAAATGCTAAGAGTCTCACGCAGAAATATTAGAAACGTAAATGCATTTATAACGTTTTGAGTTAGAGCAGATAATTGGTTATAGTTGATCTTTATAGTCTGATTTGCCAACATGCATTACGAATGATTCCAACCCGATAATGATTTTCATGGAGAACCATGTAGCAATGACAATGGTTAAGCTATTGTCTACCAAGGTAGGTAATTACCGACTTTGAGATCGACTTGAAAACTAGAAGAATAAAGAAGTTACCTATGACAATGAATCCAGTGGCGGAGGCAGGATTGAGTTCTCAGGATTGAGTTACCTATGACAATGTAATTTGAAATTTCATCGAGATCCCCTACGATCCCTGCACATGGCACCTTTTCCGGAAATGCCTCGTGGGGGCACACGCCCTACTGCTCCCCTTCCTCCGCCACTGATGCTTATATGTAGGTCACTATGTACATTACCTAGAAGGGTCATTAGGACTAGCAGTAAAACTTTTCCATGACAAATCTTGAGGCCTCAGCAGAACTTGAATGTCATCTCCAACGGCAGGGATAACAATGACTTTCTTTGGAGCAGCTTCTACAACGCGACTAAGAAGAAAAGCATCACACGTGTATCATAACTTGGCTAAAATTAGAAAGAAAGGCCCATATAAATAAGACAAGCACCACAAAAGCAAGATAACTCGTCTAGAATGAGACGCAGCACATTAATATACTCGTCTAGTATCATACTTCAGCATTCATGTAGGGATTTACCTGTATAAAGGAAACCTCCTGCCTCCTCGCACAATAAAATCCTGTATTTAGTGATAACTTATTAATTTTCAATGCATGTAAAAAAACAAGACAATGCATAATCACATGTGTGAGCAAACACCTTGAGAAAAGTTGGGAAGAGAACGGATGGAGTACCTGAGTAAAGATACCCCGAGCCTTGGAAACGCGTAAACGGGTCGCTATTTCCTTGGGAGCGAAACTATCAGCTATGGACACAACAGAAAATCCTCCAAGTATAATTCCCAAGTAAATAATGACTGCTTTTTCAGTCATTGGCATGTCAATGGCAATAGCATCTCCCTTTGAGAAAAGTGAATCGAGAGCATTTGCCACTAACCTGTGTCACCAACAAACAACCAAATACACAAGTTAATCCTCAAACTAATTTCTTGTTAAAGACAGAAGAAAATGCCAAGAGTTATCCCAACAAATGTGTCCCCTAAGACCTAAACCTCATTGTTTGATCATTTGTCATTCTATTTTTATCATTTTTACCATAAAAACAATGATTTTAAAAGTAAATCAGGTATTTCAATTACTAAATAACAGAACAATTTCATTCTATATTTTTTCTAATACCGAGTATTTATTTAAGTAGTAGTTATTTTCTACTCCGTCCCTATAAGTTTTTGTTTACTATTCACCGTGTTAAACTTTGATTCTCTCTTTACCAATTTTCACTACTTATTCTATTAAATAACATAGCATTGTCATCTCTTGTTTAAGTAACATTATTTTTATCTTTAATTATACGCCAATTTTGAAATAGATTGGGTTGAAAATAATTCTAGTTGAACATCGTAACTTGGATCAAGAGTTAATGCAAACATACATCACTTTATCTCGGAGCTCTTTCAATGACATGCAATTAACATCCTCATCATCATGTCCTTCATTCCTCCATACGATGGCCAAGCTGTCGTCATGCTTTTTGTGGTAACTACTTGGCATCAAGCAACATTCGGCAATATTAAGAACCGAACCAGGGAGCCAAGTTCCTCCATGCTTGGATTTGTCAGAGGTATCCAGAATGCACTTTGGCGCTTCCCGAAATTGAATTGCCAGCTCGCTCAAAACGAATGACCAGTATATCTATGAAGGATGTAAGCAACATCCATTGGTAGTTGGTAAGAATGTTTTAAATTCAAACTAGCCCAAGATGTAGGGGCTTTAGCCTATATACAAGTCTCAACTTTCCTACAAATCACTTCTTATATTGTGGTTTTAGATGATAGTGGGTAGGGAAATGCTAGGGGTACACCAACATGGGGTACCCCATTTGTATATTAGGCTAACACATACACACAGACATTATGTCTGTGCAGCACACACATTTTGTGTCTGTGCGTGTCTGTGTTAGCTAGCTTGGTGTACAAATGGGATACCTCACGTTGGTGTATCCCTAGGTTAATTCATTGTATGTGAAAAATTCCTGATATGAGATACTTTAGAAGAGAAATATAAAGATACAAAACCTCTAAGATTAAGTGTATATATCTAATCAAAGCCAACCTCAGGATGGTCAACAGAGAACTTGTGGAATTGTTTAAAACTTGCAATTGGGTCCTTGTAAGATGCCCCCATTACTTCTGGACCATGTGTTTCCATAAGGCGGCCTAAATTAGTAGATTTAGCTTCATCTCTGCAACAGAAAGGGTAGTAATTAACGAACTAACTTAGCAAATGCACAATTGGTAAACCGGATGATTTCAGAAGATTGGAATTGTATCTCATATAGTACTGAACAAGAAGATGAAGAAGAAGAAGACTCCGCAAGTGGAAATTATGGCTAAAATCGTCCTTGAACTTTATGAACTATCCACGATTGGTCTTTCAAGTTTCAAAAGTCCATGAATAGTTTTGTGCACGATTCTTCAAGTTTGAAGAGTGTCCTTCAAATACAAGTCAGCCCCTCCCTCCAGATGAGGTACTTTTGACGTTAAACGTTAAAAGCTAAATGAAATTATAGAGGGGTCACAAAATAGCCATTAAAACTGAATCAAGAGAAAGAGAGGGAGAGGAAGTACAGAGAAGGGAACCAAAAGAGAGGAGGGCCAGAGGAGGATTCATCGTAGTTACTGTAGACGGAGGTGTAGAGGAGCCGGTGCAGCGCGTGGGGATGCGTCGGCTTCAGCAACTTCCGAGCAGTGATTTCCCGCCAAACCACCTGGGGGTCCAATCCTGGCGGATGACGGCGAGACAGAGAAATCGCGTTCTCCAGATGCCTGTGGAGGGACGCGGCTTCCTCCGGGGAGAGTCCGACGTGAACCATGTCCTCCGCTCCGACATCGGCGATGCTCTTCGCCGCCATCGATTCTCTCAATCGCCCTCCTCTTCTTCCGCACAACGTAGAGATATATGCTGCCAATCAGTCCACCATACCCATGGGCTGACTGGAGATGAACGGGGAGAAGAAGAGCAGGTAGGTGGTGGTGATGCATCTCGCGCCCAGGTGGGGGTAGTTGGTTTGTGGGACCGTTGACGGATAAATTTCAGTAATGCTACCTGAACTTTAACTCGAATTTCGAAGTGGTACCTAAACTTCAAATCCTTTCACAAAAATCCCTAAACTTACACAATCCTTTCACTAATGAGCCATTAGCCCGTTTCTAGGTTAACTTCCGGTCATTAGGGCCAAATTCAAATTTTATATATTTTAAAATTTTCAATTTGACCCCATTTCTTCTTTTCTTTTCTTCCAGGCCCCGCCGCCGCCCGCCGGTCAAAGTCGCCGGAAAATGAACTTTTTCCAATTCTGGCGGAACCAATGTCATTCTCTTCGTCTTGAGACGAGGATCAATAATATCTAAACCATTTTGTCTAATTTGGCCTGTAACTTCTCGAATCTGAATTTTTCTACTCGAAAAACCCTAAAATTCGAAATTGAGTCCAAATGCGGTCTCCGGCGGGTCGGAGCGTTTTCCGGCCAACGCCGGCGAAATTGACGGCGGACATCCACTCCAATGCGGTCGTGGCATCCGGGCGACCTCCAAGGACCCTTCAATTGCAAGATTTGATGACGATTTGCAAAACCCCCAATTTTGGACTCAATTTCGAATTTTAGGGTTTTTCGAGTAGAAAAATTCAGATTCGAGAAGTTACAGGCAAAATTAGACAAAATGGTTTGGATATTATTGATCCTCGTCTCAAGACGAAGAGAATGACATTGGTCCCGCTGGAATCGGAAAAAGTTCATTTTCCGGCGACTTTGACCGGCGGGCGGCGGCGGCGGGGCCTGGAAGAAAAGAAAAGAAGAAATGGGGTCAAATTGAAAATTTTAAAATATATAAAATTCGAATTTGGCCCTAATGACCGGAAGTTAACCTAGAAACGGGCTAATGGCTCATTAGTGAAAGGATTGTGTAAGTTCAGGGATTTTTGTGAAAGGATTTGAAGTTCAGGTACTACTTCGAAATTCCAGCTAAAGTTCAGGTACCATTGGTGAAATTTACCCGACTGTTGACAGTTACTAAATGTTGTACCCAAATGACAGTTACTAATAGTGTGATACTAGTGTGATGGTTTACATTGACAAAAAATATCATTGCAAATTATTTTAAGTGATAAACATTTTGTGGTAGTGTGAACCATTAAAATATCAGTACATTTCTTTGAGATACACTTTTTGGTGTACTCCTAGCATGGTTGTTTAAGTATATTCATCTAGTCTAACGTTTTTGGGTCAAACTAGATGGATTTTGAAGCACAATTAGATAAAGTTGTTTTATATTTTAGTATGATTATGATTTCATTAGTGATTGTGTAAATTAACCACCGGGTAAACTGTTCTAGGGTCTAAAATTGTTTACTGGATTCGAGAATGTAAAAAAATAATAAACACAAAGTTTAACCGGGAGAACTATAGGTGGAAACACTTGTAGCCTAATTGTTATTAGAATATAATGAGATGCACGAGAACTTTTACACAAGGATTCTAGAGAGAACAATATGGATCCCCTCCTTTGAGGGTTGCATAGGTGTTTATAGTAAAGCTAAAGAGAACAAGGCGCCGCATACCCACGTCAGACCATGTTTTTGGGTGGCGCAAGGTGATTGCCTCTGTCTTTTAGTGGCTTGTTCCATCCCTTTATTCCTTTGTCATCTAGCTAGGAAGGTGACTCTCTTCTCACGTAGCGTGTTGGACTGATTGCGAGAAAATCTTCAGTGATCCTTCGCTGAATTCAACTGCTACAATCCAACCTTAGATTATTTCCTGCCGACACTTCCAACCAAAGAACTCATATCGGTAAGGTTTACGCGGGATGGATTTATGGAGATTGGGGATGATCAGGGGAAGTCACGTAGTTTGATCGGTAGAGTAATTAAACCTTCTACCGGTCAACTTTTCTGTCACCGACCAATATAACCCTTTTTCCATTAGGCTTCCTTTTCCAAAAATTCATCATTTGACCGATCAAGAGTTTGTGGACCTCCCCTTAAATCGGTACTGGGTGAAATACACTCATCAATAATTCCTCCATTTCTTGGTCATGTAAACTATCGTGGGCGGAAAGTAAAAAATCTAAAAAATGGATCACTCGAAATTCGAATTTTAGACCTTTCCTGCCTGAAATTTTCAAAATTTAAAATCCCTAATCCATCAGTAATACATCTCAATTGTATATAATTGGTAAATCAGCTGAGAAGTATGTGGAATCTAATTTTGAATTCAAATTCAATGAAATATAAAATTTCAAACAAGAAAACTAAAAATGATGATGAGTGATGCAGAATCCACTTGGCTAAATCCACTTCGTTTTATAAGAAACGGATACTTGTGGTAAACTTGTTCATTTGATACAAAAAGAATTGGATACAACCAAATAATATGGTGTGGACTTAGAAATAACCAAACATGAATTGCACAACAAAATTTACTACTTCAATATCTTGATGTCCAAAGTTCAAGAAACACAAGAGCTACTAATGTAGTTGCGACCCGCCCGAATGAAGTCCGAATCCTCGATGCTTTGCCAATTTCACTCGCGGGTCCCGAAGGCGGTGAGGTGGATGGACAAGCAGGCCTAGTTGAGTTGAGTCTGTTCCAAACAATATAAAGAGTTGTTAGAAATAAAACCTAAAAGAGAGACCCAGATGGATTTGATTCATTAGCACATATATAGGCTCTTACATTTGGGTAAACCTGCATGACCCATAACCTGCTCAATGACACCACAAGAAAAAAGGTAAGTATTCATATGTAATCCAATTATAAGTGAAATGAACAAATGACAAGTTTTTTAGTTGTGTGCTAAAAGTTTAATTTTATAATTTTCTCTCTTATAAAAGGGTTCAACAATGTTATTGGTAATTATTCAAAAATATACAGAGTATATATTGATTAAAAATGGTGCAGAGAGAAATAATATTATCCATAAAAATATTTCCATAATGATTTTAAATCATCAAAAAACTGTAAAACATTAAACTTATACGATTAAACTACAATTTTCAAAGTCTTTATTTTCTAAATATATAGGTGCGCTGACAACATCCAATGTCAAACTCTGGCATTGTGTGATATCATTTTACATTTTTTATCATTATATATTACTCCCTCCATTCCCAATTTGATTACAAATTGCGAGTTACGGAGTAAAATTTCCTACTTTTTAAAATCATTTTATTTACAAATTGGTATATCAATAAGATATAAAAATTACATATTAAAAAACTACGTCAAAAGTTCTACAAAACAAGAGGTGACAAGAATATTTTATTTTATCAAATACTTAATAAAATCGCGTAAACAAACAAAAGTTATCGAGATGAGAGAAAAAAAATTGTAATCTATTTAGAGACGGAGGGAGTAGGTTTTTTATACTCTTTGTCCTAGAGTTATCATCACAATTGTTTTTTACTTATAATTTGATGAAGATAAAATATTTGTCACCTTCTACTTTATACGAAAATATAACTTTTGAATTGTTCAAAGTAATTTTTTAAAGACTAAACTCTACTATTGATTCTTCAACTTTATGAGTTGTGTATGATTGGTACTTCAAGTTTCAAAAGGCCATAAATAGTCCTTCAACTTTATGAATCATGCACGATTGGTCATTCAAGTTTCAAAAGTGTATAAGTAGTCCTTCAAGTGCACGTCAGCCCTCTAGATGAGGTATTTTTGACGATAAACGTTAAAAGCTAAATAGAGTACTAATTTCATATAATACGGAGTACTCTTACCTAGTGGAATTTACTCGTATTATACGGAATTAGTATACCATTTACTCAGTTTTTAGTGTTTACTGTCAAAAAGACTCCATCTGGAGGATTAACGTGTATTTGAAGAACTACTTATGAAATTTTGAAACTTGAAGGACCTATCGTGCACAATTCATAAAATTGAAGAACTATTCACGAACTTTTGAAACTTGAAATACCAATCGTGCACAACTCATAAAATTGAAGATCCAGTTGTGGATTTTGGCCTTTTTAAAAGTATAATTCATATTTCTTATATTCATGCTAATTTATAAATAAAATAGATTTAAAAACACCAAGGTGAAGACAATAATTTTTGGGAGGGTGAGTAAAAATGAAATTGGTGAAATTTGAGAAGGAGAAGAAGAAAGGCTTACTGGGGTCAATATCAGTCAAATTTGCGGTCCCACTAAAGTCACAATTCCCCCCACAGAAACGCATCCTCTGGAAATACTCATTGAACGCAAACGAAGCTCTGTTTTTCACGCTGTCCCCGTAACAGGGATCCCTCGGCGATAGAATTGCCGAGCAGTTCGTTTCTCCGGGCCCGCACGCCCAGTCGATCCCGCCTTGCAGATCTTGATCCTTCGCCTCCGCCTTCGCCACGCAGAACCCCGGGAACGACGAGTTCACCCGAACCTTTTCCGATGAACCGGTCGTGAAATTCAGGGGATACACCGGCGAACCGTCGGAGAAGAAGACTCCCCAGCTTCTCTCCGAAACCGGCCCGGGCATGTCGTCTTCGTTGTACATCTCGTAGATGTACACGTTCATCGGGATCTCCCTCCGGCTCGGCGGACCCGACCCGTTCAGGACCCGCTGGATCAGGTTGTTGTTGAACGTTTCCGCGTTTTTCACCGTCGCCTGAGGCTCTGTTTCGTTGTCTCCGGCCCACGGCCACCCGGTCTCCGACACGACGACGGGGATGTGCCGGAAATCCAGGGCCGACATGGCGAAATACGTGGCGTCGATCAAGGAATCCAGCATGTTCTCGTACTGGAAATCCGTGTTTGAGTCCACGATTTTCTGCCCCGGCTGGAACAGAGCATACTCGATCGGGAAAACGCCGCCGGAGTCGACGTATTGACGGTACGGGTAGGCGTTGACCATGTAGAATGAATCCGTGTTTTTCAGGAACTGGAGGAGTCGCCGGAGAGTGGATTCCCGGCTGAACTTCGCGGTGGACGGCGGGAATGTACCCACCATCACCTCCGTCGTCTGGGGCGCAGAGATTTTCACTTTCCGGCTCAGCTTCGCGGCGACTAAGGCTTTG